ATTGGGCTGGTACGTTACTGTAGTCAATGTCATTCCCTGCGCCACGTTTCACCTTTACCTATACGGTGTGGAAAATGTATCAAGGTTTTAGTTTTAGTTTTCCTGTAAAAAATATAATGTCAAGCACCTTACTGTACAAAAACAAGTTTGTTCTTATTCACAATTTATACCACCCTACTACAACTGTGGATTACTTTAGCGGAATATCGTGTATTTGTTTTGTATTCAAAAGTATATGGTGAACTGATATGATAACCAAGACCCACATTAAATTCCTCACATATGATTGGGAGTTTTTTACAGGTTGCCCTCACTTTCCTTGCCCTGTGCTCTGTGTCTTTCGCTGGGCTGTTAGGTGGCTTCCTTGGAGGTGCTCCTTACGGAGGTTACTATGGAGGAGCCGCGGCTGTTACAGGTAGCTCTGCCATAACCCACAGCTTTGATAATCAGCGTGCTCTGACTGGTTATGGTTATGGATACCCAGGATATGGTTATGGCTACGGTTACGCTGGCTACGGCTACCCAGGCTATGGTTATGGCTACGCTCGCTACGGCTATCCAGGCCATGGTTATGGTTACGCTGGCTACGGATACCCAGGCTATGGTTACGGTGCTGGTTATTATGGAGGTCTTGGCTACAAGTTCCACTAAATTTATATCGGTAAGAATCGAAGCATTTAGAGCATTTTTGTTACTTATGATAAGATGTCCTCAGTGTGGAAAGGCATTACAAGTGTGTAGTACTAAACTGTTAACTCAACACACATAAAATTTATGATGAGATAAATCCAAAGAAAATCTACAATTTGTATTTTTTTTTTCATTTGTATTTTTATTTTTGTTCGGTAAGATTGTCCTCAAGTTCTGGTTTATTGCATTGGAAGTTATTCTTTAAATTTTAAAACCTAGCATTTCTTAATGTTTTGCCTAACCTGTCATAATGTAAACAACTAGCTGGAACTGTAAGCCTCCAAAATTATCTGCCTATCAAATGTCACTTATTATATTAGCAGTCACGGCTTTACATGAATTTTCAGCAAGGAATAACAGTTTAATTGATGTTTAATTTTGTTGGTTATAAATATTTGTATTGTACATATCAAATATTAATTTTGTTTCTTACTTTATCTTTCCACAGACATATTCTACCCTCTGTGAAACCAGACCTACAAGAAACCAGAAATAGACTGTTTAAAATATTTATGTGTATAAAGTTCAAGTTTATAGTGTAATTGTATAATGTAATAAAGCTCACCTTCTTGAAAAACAGAGTTTTTGTCTCTTGTCTAAACATTCATGTTTTTCAGTTGAAAGAAATCAGTTTTCCAAAAAAAACTTTCATGTTATCAAAATAAACAGTCGATATGTTAACGAAATTCAACATGAAAGAAAAAAACTCATGATTGGAATGTTGTTCTACGAATCTTCGGTGCACATTTCGTGCAGAAACAGTGAGACAAACAATCTAAATGTTGTTTATATTCGGTGCACCTTTCGTGCAGAAACAGTAAGACAAACAATCTGAATGTTGTTTATATTCGGTGCACCTTTCGTGCAGAAACAGTGAGACAAACAATCTGAATGTTGTTTATATTCGGTGGACCTTTCAATTAATTTCTATAATTTCCACTATTTGGTATATATATATATCTTTGTACAGTTATCACTTTTCATATTACACCTTTTTTTATTTGTCTGTCTTGTATACACGACGTCACTTCCTGTTTGATGGCTGGTTGTCTTACTAATGTTATATTTCTAATCTTCACGTTCAAGTCTTGTGAAAGGAGATTACAAGCGGGTGAATCACTATTATTTTATGGATCCTAATCTACCAGATAATATATTCTAACATTCTGAAGTCCATACCGTAGTGTTATTTCTCTCGTATCTATATGATCCAGCTGCTTTTGTCCTGCTCCTTTAATTATAGTTAAAATCGTAAAAAAATGTGATAATTTCTTTATCAAAAGCTCATGTTACTTAAAATTCATATAAATGTTGTGTCATATTTGGATATATGTATATATATATATATATAAATAAAAAGGATAAATAGAACTGACGACTTTTGAAACAAAAATATCGATGTAACACGTGTTTATAATGATAATGATGCAGCATGTAAAGGTGAATTCCATGTAACATGTGTTTATATTGATAATGATGTGGCATGTTAAGTGATCGATATTAGTGATCTATAGAATATTATAATAAAATCGAAAACAGTTTGATAAAATGATAAAAACATATTGTATATATATATAAATATATGTATGTTTTAGAAACATTAAGTTTCTACTACATATTTGTTTATCATATCACACACTTATATTTTTGTATTAAATTATCTATATATTATATAAACATAAACCCACACGCTACATGGAAACCGTTGTGATTGCAAACCCTTAATTTACACAAGCCACAAGAACCATTAATTTAAACCACTTACAGGGAAAATATGTGATGTTGTTCTCTTATATTATTATTTGTTTATTTTAGAATGTCATAAAAAATACACAAGGGCTACCAGCACATAGCCCTCTCTAATTTTGAACTGATAAGCTAGTTAGAACAGCACCCACCTCCAACTCTCACGCTTTTCTTATCTGATGGAATATTGAGATTTATGTGACTCTTTTATAGTGTACTCACGGCCCCGGAACATGTTTTATCAGCAACCAGATTGTTAACCAGAACCCTTGGATCTACAGTCATGGCAAACTTAGCGGTGCCCAGTACCTTTAATTTCACACTAGAATACTTGGTGTGGAGTTTCACATACATTAACTTTAATCATTATTAATTAATAAATCAAATATATATCTTCATTTTTTCCAAAAAATCATGTTTATTTTATGAATATGATTCAAAGTAATTATTTAGTAACTAATTTGTTATGTTAATGGAATACTGATTAAACACTTCAATGTGCTTACGCATTAGCAATATTGATTTTACGGGCATTGTGTGCAAATTAGAAAATACACCACTGGTTTCTTCTGATTTCCATTTCTGGCGTTAACATGATAAATACGATGATACAAGAATTCATAAATATAAACAACATTCAGATTGTTTGTCTTACTGTTTCTGCAAGTATTGTTATAAGTACGTTGTATAAGTTTAAATAAGATGTATTTGTAACTATAATGGTAGAGACTCGATAATCTCAAGATTACCAATAACTCAAGACAGTAAATGTTATTTTTTTATATTTTATTTATAAACCTTGGTTTTGTTGTAGTATCAACGTGTTATTCTGTTAGAATACAAAAGACATGTTCTTCTTGTGAAATCATCCATATGATATAATTTCGACAACGTTTTGTTCTTTTCAAGGATACATCCTTAATTTACACAAACACAAACACATTCACAAACATATATTTGAATATATATTGTGAAAATAAAAATATCCAGAGAAATATAAAAGAACAAAATGATCCTAGTTCGGAAAATGTAGGGTTTTCTAAAAGCTCATGACAAAACCACCGAAATCTTCAATCTTGATAAACTGCATTTTGTTATTCGTCAAACAAACAAGGTCAGTAAAGATGACATAAGTTTATTGTGTTAGAAATCTTTTTTTATCTTTCTTCGTGTTCACGCTGAACACAAGTGGAATTTTAGAAAAATACACCTAATCTGAAGAGGAAGGACATTTAGATAAAAAGTTGGTCATTCTACGTCTTTCAGAAAGTCCCTGAAATTAGAATCACATTTAACATGAGCTGAAGAAGTAAGACGTGCAACTACGAGCTAGTTAGTGAGTGTTAAGAGTTCGACGTGACATCAAGGCTAAATGTGATGTGTTTCTATTTCTTTGTACTGTAAATCAAGATTAGAAATTCTTCTAGGCAAAATCTGGAGAAAAATATTTGGTATGGATTACACTATGTTATAATTGATTGTTCAAAAGTTTGTCCGGTATGGATTACACTATGTTATAACTAATTGTTCAAAAGTTGGTCCGGTATGGATTACACTATGTTATAACTGATTGTTCAAAACTTTGTCCGGTATGGATTACACTATGTTATAACTGATTGTTCAAAAGTTTGTCTGGTATGGAGTACTCTATGTTATAACTGATTGTTCAAAAGTTTGTCCGGTATGGATTACACTATGTTATAATTGATTGTTCAAAAGTTTTTCAGGTATGGATTACACTATGTTATAACTGATTGTTCAAAGGTTTGTCCGGTGTGGATTACACTATGTTCTAATTAATTGTTCAAAAGTTTGTCCGGTATGGATTATACTGTGTTATAGCTAACTGTTCAATGTTCGTAACAATAAAACCAGTACGATATTTAGCAGGTACCTTTTTACTCTGGGTGTTGTTTTATATTTTTATGAAGTTTTACAGTAAATTAGCAGTAAGGTAAAGTGGAAATGTATATTTATACAATTGGCTACCTGTTTTCTGCCTTAAGGCAAAGTGGAAATGTATATTTATACAATTGGGTACATGTATTCTGCCTTAAGGTAAAGTGGAAATGTATTTAGCAAATTCATACTTCGAATTATTCTGAAGAACCTAATTTATTAGTTAACGTACATTTTGTGGACACACATGTATATGTTATTTTTTGTTATAGCCAGACATAATTTGTTTCAATAATTAGTATTATTAATAATTTGATTAATAAAACGAATAGAGGGGGAAATGTTATAATTAACATACTTGAAAAGAGAATTTTTTCCTCGTGTTTCTTTATCGACATAAGATAAGGTCAATAATATATTTATATAGATTAAGGATATAATGAGTTATTATTGAGAGATGATATATCGGTATTTTAATGTACAAAGTGTATTAATTATATTGTTTGATAAAATAATAACCACACTTTTAAAGCTCAAAGTTCTGTTAAGATTCTTTCGTTGGTATTTTAAGTAACTTCTCAAATTATATCCAATAAAAATGGTTTTATATTATTTTTATAAAGATAACCACAAACTAAGATATACGGGATATAAAAAAGAAAAGTTTATTAATTCATACACATCTGAAGAAATGTAACAATGTGTTCCAATTATAATTGTTTCCGGAAACAAATGTAAGATTCATCCTTTTTCAAGCAAGTACCGGTAATCACGAGGTCAAAGTCCTGGAAATAAATCACTTTTTATAACCTTTAAAGTCTTCATCTAATCCATATAAAAACTGGAGTAAAATGTTAACCTCATATCTAGTAGTCATTCTTTAGAACATATATTATTTTATTGTTTTGTGGTTCGTCAAACTATTTTAATACTTTTAGAGATGTTAAAACTATAATAGTTTAAAAATAGTTTGTCTAAATAGTTCTTACATCATTAAAATTGGAAGATGTTTTTTACGGTCATTCAGCATCATATCTAGTTGGTTTGGAATAGTTAATTATATAGAAAATTGGTGTAAATAAATAAAAATTACATTTATATGTGTAAATGCTTTTGCCAATTTTTAGCTGTTTTCAACGTAAGGTTTTTATTCTTCGATTCATGTTTAATATGACAAAAGAAGTTTTAATTTACCCAACATATAAAGCAACTAATACATACACGTTGGTGAACTTACGTTTCGTGACTTAATAGAAACGGCCGAGGGCCCCATAATATCCTGGATGGCCAGCGTAGTTGTGGAGACCCAATCCGTAATTGTAACCACTATAATAGCGTGGAGAGTAGTTCCAGCCTTGGTACTGGTTGTACGGATAAGTATTGTAACCCGGATGGGCGTAGTTGTGGAGCCCTTGGTAACCAGAGTAGGGCAAAGTGTCGTGCTGTACGGTCACAGAAGAGTCACCAGTGCTGTAGGAATAGCCTTTTTCACCCAATGCAAAAGCACCAACGGCCAACAGGAGAACGACAACGACCTATATTTAACCAAGAATATTAGTGTCCTTAAAATCTTAATTATAATCCAAGGATCTGTCTCTTTTGTTTTATTTTTGCAAACTATTATTGTTTGTTGTTGTTGTTTTCTCACTTTCATCCTTGAAGTGAAACAACATTCAGTTCGTAGATTATGTTTCTGTTGTTGCTACCTATGTTTTGGTAAAAGATGTGAATAAATATGGAACCTTGTTGAACGTAGAATAACCCCTTATTAGAAGTAATGCTCAACATTGGTGCTAAATGACCTACTGATGAAAACTGAGTGAACATGTTAGAAGTTTTCTTTACGTAGAAATTGGAAGAATGACAGTAATTGGATATTTTAAATAATTTATCGAAATTCTTTAAATAAATAACTTCAAGCATCAGATAAGGTTGATTTAATCCCTTTGGACTCAAACTACAATCTGAGATATATATATTACTTTTCGAAATTTAACAACCCTCAGAAATAATGCGTTAGTATTAAATATCTTAAATGTAAGTTGTATAACATTAAAGCAATTTTTGAAAATGATAACAACAAGACTAGCACTACATACTGATGTATTTATCATACTTACAACCTTCATGATGTTGAGAAATAAGAACGATCTCTGTCCACAAACACAGACTTTGTATTCAAGACTTGGATATGATGTGAAGGGACGGTTCTTCCTCTTATATTTATACTAGGATTATTTCTCACTGTTTCCATAGATGAAAGATAATATCAGACAGTACGAGGAAATCAAAGGCTTTAATATTGCAGGTCGTGGATTCGAATCCCCGTCATCGAACATGCTCGACCTTTCAGCCGTGAGGGCGTTGTAAAATGATAGACAATTCCATAATTTGTGGTAAAAGACTGACTCAAGAGTTGGCTGAGGGTAGTGTTGACCTTCTCTCTAGCCTATCACTGCTAAATGAGAGACGGCTAGGGCAGATAGCCTTCGAGTAGCTTTGCGCGAAATTCAAAACAAAATAAATAAAATCATAAGATAACATTTGAACTGAACAGTAAAACTGGAAAAAAAAAGAACACCGTATACATTGGTGGTAAAACTTGACATGCATTATGAAATAAGATTATTTGGGCAAAAGCGAGATGTTTTAATGTTCTTCAATTATTTATAGAAATACAACTGATAATGTAACTATAGTTTGCAGTAAATATAGTTTCATAAGGTTGTGTCGTACCCTTGTGACCAAAAACAATGAATTAAAGCTTGTATTTGTAAGATAGTCATTTTTATATACCTTGAAAGATCCTGATATAACGGAGTTTAAGATTTTATGAAAGTACAACAAGCAAAACATATATAATAGTTAGCATTTAAATTCATTTTCAATTTGGAAGATTGGAAAACATCCGACATCTGAATAATTATAATATCGGCTAATAACTTTAATAGTGACAAATAAAACCGTGTTAGCAGTTTGAGCTTTAATTTCAAATAAATTAAATCTTTAGCATTATTTGGACTTTTTTTTTCTGCTTTATTATTGGGTGTTTAATAATATATATTTTGTGTTGTATTTTTCTTTTTAAAACCCGAATTAAGTAAACGATCAAAATGAATATATAAAAGGTAAAAGTTTGTATCTCAGGTAGATATAAAAAATCTGAAATTTAAGTTATATGTTTTAAATTTACTGGTTGTCTGGTATGGATTACACTATGTTATAACTGATTGTTCAAAAGTTTGTCCATCTTACGATTCAATCTTAATGTTCTATTATAAATTGTTTTCTGAGATTAGTTTTATTGTCCTTTGTTAAATAGCTTTTTAGCTAGATTTATTAAATACTTGGTCGAATACTGTTAAGTTTTTTGGTAGTTAGGGTTAATTGTTCAAGTGTACAATCATGTATTTCTGTACTGTGTTTACTTCTCAGTCTTAGCATTCAATTACGTATGTACACACATATATATGTATAGTTCCATCGTTCTCTGACAGTGTTATTATAAACTGTTTGATTCAACTACTTCTTTCAAAATTACATAGCATTGTTCAAAATGTCGCTTTTAACGAAAATATAAAATTAACTACAACTAGTTAGAACACATACGTTTATCTTTTTATGTTGTATATATTTTATATTATATTGTCAGTAATAGTTGTGTTGGAACCGAATTGTAAAGATCCACAAGTACAAACTCGTTAGCCGAAAGATTAGACAATAATCTTGATTGATAGAAATGAAAACATCAAAAATATGTCCAGCTAATTGAGTTGTATAGTGAGTAGAGTAATCTGTACTACTTAGCTTAGGGTTGTCCAGCTAACTGGGTTGTATGGTGAGAAGAGTAATCTGTACTACTTAGCTTAGGGTTGTCCAGCTAACTCAGTTGTATAGTGAGTAGAGTAATCTGTACTACTTAGCTTAGGGTTGTCCAGATAACTCAGTTGTATGGTGAGTAGAGTAATCTGTACTACTTATCTTAAGGTTGTCCAGGTAACTCAGTTGTAGAGTGAGTAGAGTAATCTGTACTACATAGCTTAGGGTTGTCCAGATAACTCAGTTGTATAATGAGTAGAGTAATCTGTACTACTTAGCTTAGGGTTGTCCAGCTAAATCAGTTGTATAATGAGTAGAGTAATCTGTACTACTTAGCTTAGGGTTGTCCAGATAACTCAGTTGTATAATGAGTAGAGTAATATGTACTACCTAGCTTAGGGTTGTCCAGATAACTCAGTTGTATAGTGAGTAGAGTGTTGAGACCCTTTCGCAGTGCAGATTTTACACGCAAAATGGGTCGTGACTAGCTATGTTTCTTATCAATATGTCGTTCTTCTCAAATGTGTTTGTTACCAACATAATAGTAGAAATAAACACCATTATAACACCAAATTTGTTATTTTGTTTTTAACTAGACACTCAACGTTTTACACTAAAACACAAGCCGTAACTGCCAGTACAAAGCTTCAAGTTTGAAAGCCACTCTTACACAAGTTGTAGCCAGAGTTATTGTCAAAGGCAACATAAAACGTGTGATAAGTGACTTCGATTTATAATCTTTACTAAATGAAACAGAATCTGGAAACACGGATGTGCTGGTGAAAAGAATTCTAAATTTAACCTAAGACTGAAAAGTATCTTTACCCTAAAATTAAACATCCCCAACACCTTCATACTTCCGTCATAAATAAGCACTATGGATGAATAGGAGAAAACGTATTTGATAAGTACAGACTGTAATAAGGATTAGCTTTGTATCTAATGATTTAGAAGACAATCATATACTTACACTCAGCGTTTTTGAAAACGTCATTCTCTTTGAACATAAACAAGAAAAGATGTAAGTAATGTGTTATCCTCAATTAACTGTTTAATTTGTGGTGTTTTCTTATTTATACTACAATTAAAAAATTCCTTGCTCAAATATTGGCAAGGAAATGTGTCCACAGTTTTATAAATTAAATGTCTGGATCAGATTTTCTTCATTTATTAAATATTTTCCTTTTATACGATAAATTTAATGGACATCTTTGATTCTATCTTTGTATTTTACGACTTAGCAAAGCTGTTATTAATAAGTTTGGTTTATGAATTGCATATAATAATCTTTCTTGTCTGATGACAGTTATGTATTAACAATTTTACTTTGTTTTAAATATGATCAGAGTGTTATTTAAGATATTACGATCAAAAATTAAATTTTATAGCTATTAAAATGACACGCTATCTGATTAAAATCTTATGATACTGCTATCTTGCTAATATACAAGGTTAATTTGTAGTACTATTATTTTGAACATGACAGGCGATAAAATAGTCACGCTCTCTTTGCTACGCCAAAGTGTTTTGATTTTCTAAACATTGTATACACGTTTTAGGTTATGAAAAAAAAAGAACATTTAGAACACGAAGACAGACTTTTGTTACTCCCAATCATATGTGAGGAATTTAACGTGGGTCTTGGTTATCATATCAGGTCACCATATACTTTTGAATACAAAACAAATACATGATATTCCGCTAAAGCAATGCACAGTTGTAGTAGGGTGGTATAATTTGAGAATATTAACAAACTTGTTTTTGTGCAGTAAGGTGCTTGCCATTATATTTTTTACAGGAAAACTAAAACTAAAACCTTGATACATTTTCCACACCGTATAGGTAAAGGTGAAACGTGGAGCAGGGAATGACATTGACTACAGTAACGTACCAGCCCAATGTAGCATTTTAGAAAGAAACATGTACACTTCGTGGCCAGTGTATAAGGCCTTGGTGTCTTATAGATCACAGTTCACGAAAAAAAAACGTTTTCTGGAAGTATAAAAAGAACCAAGACTTCTCTACTTGCCATACGCTGAATAGTTCTACTTTTGTAGCCGGGTTAACAGCTTACTGAAACTCCAAACTATGAACACTCTGGTAAGTTAGGCTTATTGTACTAAATAAGTGCCCTAATTTTGGTTTGTTTTTCAAAAGTCAATATATGAAATAGTTTTTAATACCATAAGTGGTAGATTAGAATCCAAATAAACTTATTATTAGTATTTTATCGTCATATGTTTTGATATTCCAATAATAATGGTAAAAATGAACATTGAATCCGACATTGTACTTCCGAGGGCTCTGTCAACTTGAACAGAATTGATCACAATAAAAATAAATGTTTGGTTGAGACAAATGTGATTAAAAAAGACAGAGTTCCTCAAAGAAATACATAAATTGATTTTTCTGGAGTTTATAACATGCAGTAAAATTAAAATCTAAATAATACGATTTTCCTCAAGATAACAGTTAATAGAACAATTATCTTCCACACTATTCATATATAACAATAAAACTAATTTTCAGGCATTATTAACTTGTAATGTTTTAAAT